AGAGAGAGAGAGAGAGAGAGAGAGAGAGAGAGAGAGAGAGAGAGAGAGAGAGAGAGAGAGAGAGAGAGAGAGAGAGAGATTTTCTAGCACTCACAATGGGGTGGGGTATTCTCTGTGCAGATGATTCACAAAGGGCCCAATAACCCATATGGTGAGGTGGAAGCGCTGGGAACACTATTGGGCTATTCTTTTGCAAATGCAGGCTGCTGCAAAGTGATTTTACATCCGAAGTGGGGTTCTTCTGTCTACCCAGCTTCAATGTTTGCCAAAGCGCCTCTGGAAGTTTTGTTAGAAGTTATCCGGGAAGTGGAGGCGGACTCTACTTCCCCTCTGTCATCCAGCGCAGAACCGTCTGTTGCGAATGGCAAAGAACTCTCCCCTTCGAAGAGGGAAGCAAAGACATCATTGGAACTTGACGAAGAGACCGCCGAACCATCTATTGAGAACAGCAAAGACGCCTCCCCTCTGGCATCTACCAAGGTAGAAATGGCGACAGCAGGAACGACAAAGACGCCTTGATATTCAGCTTCAGCACCAACAACTGCCGAGATTCACTGTGTTGCTACCCTCCTCTGTCTCGAACCAAGGTGGAAAATGTGGAAAATGCAACAAGAGCGCAAACCACGACGGCGCCTTGATTATGCTCCAGGAACGGTTGTCGGTACTCTCCTCTGTCGTCGACCGGGGTGGAATACGTGGCAAGAGGAACGATGATGACACACCTTGATTATGCGTAAGTCAGCAAGATTGTGAAGCGACATGTTGTCCTTATTCTCCTCTGTCCTCACCGAGGTGGGAAATGCAACACCAGCAGTGACGTCAACACCGAGTGCGAGTGTCATTATTCTCCTCAAGATTATGCCGTATGCTTTATTTTGGTAGTCTCAGGAATTTCCAGTGTCGTTACTCTCCTCTGTCATCGACAAAGGTTGGTAAAGTGCTCACTCACAACAACGAGTGCGATACCCTTTTTTTTTTTCTTTTTTTTTAGTGCGATACCCTGATGGTGAGTACTTTTCTTCTTTTTATTTTCAGTTTGGACCGTTTCTCGATTTACGCGTGTAATGTGTGAAAGCGCAAGGGCCATGCTAATCTTCTCTTGTATCGTTTCAATTTTAACAGATGTCCGGAAGGGACGTCATCTTGTTGTTGTCTAACCCACAGAAGTTGACGACGGAAAAGCCTCAGGCTTATCCCAATTTTGCATCCAGTCCCACCACCCGTCCCCACATCTGTTCCCCCCCCCCCCCCCCCCCCCCCCCCCCCCCCCCCCCCCCCCCC